GTGTTAATCCTGGAGAGGCGTATTCGTATGGCTCTACTCAGAGCAAATGAAGATTGCTGGATTGCTGAAAGCCTAGCGTGCATATCCTTCAGCTCTTGAAAACCGCTCCACTCATTCTCGAAATGACAGTGAATTTTATGACCGTGCCCATTTGATGGAAGAATTTGAAAGATGGAAGCAGAGTGGTGTGTCTACTTCTAACAATGCTTTCCATTTCCGTCGATGGATTGAAGATGACTGGATCGCTGAAATAGCGTGCATATCCTCCTCTTTTTCAATAATCATTCTCTTCATTCTCGATTTAACATTTAATTTCTCCTTCTAGATCGATCGCGAGCAGTGAATTGAACCCTATTTCATTACCCTCTTTCTTCATTATTCACCCACTCATCAATACTCGCTCTTTATTTATGAACGTTCCTGCTGCGAACTTCGAGCAGAATAGTCAGGCATTCGATTAAATGGTTCCTCTGTTGTCCATAAATGCTCATTAAGAGACATGACTTGATATCTTGAATATTCACTATTGCATAAGTGACTTCATTAACAAATACACATTATGTGTTGTTCATGGACAAATAGCTTGACCTTGATCCGCCACATGCCAGCATGTGACAAGGAGAACTTCATGCAGAATCGTCGTCGCATTCACCTGCGATCTGTCCTATGTAATAATTTTGAGAATCACTAAATGTCCAGATCTGTGTTATTACTCTCGGAGGATCTGTCATGAATACTGTAGGACTGCGGTTTTCTTCTGCCTGGTGCATATTTATCCCTTGAACATCATATTTAACATCATATTTATCCCTCGAACGTCGCCACGGTTCTGACCAAATTATCACTCCATTTCTACAACTCTCCATTTGAGAATTGTGCTGTCCTGAAGACGCTTGTTGATCTGGAAGATTGTACTTTTGGAGGCTCCGAAAATTCGATTGCTGAAACTAGAACACAAAATTTCCTAGAAAGGAATGCCAAAAGTGTTTATTGTTTGATGTGGCGATATTTCCTACTAAGGATATTTTGGAAATTTTTTAACTAACTCACCCTCACTTCGCCTTAATATGGGCTTACCACACCCGATCGGTTTGGAGCAGAAAATGATCAACTTACGCGACAAAGCAGGCGCTGTACAACATTCTAACGGTAGGGTTACGGGTTACTGTAAACAAATCGTGATATTGGGTGATAGGGCAGCCCAGCAACATTTGCGGGCGCATTCTACAATATTCTACGCCCGTAACTTTTGCTAGGCTGCCGTATCACCCAAAATTATCATCTATTTACAGTAACCGCCGATCCTACCGTGACAGTTCCTTTGGAAGGAAAATATTGGAGGTACTGAAATAAGTGGGCTATCACCGGGAACCTGGAGCAATGTGACATTCTACTATTCTTAACAGTAGGGTTAGGGGTTACTGTAAACAGATGGTGATACTGGGTGATCCGCAGCCTAGTAATATTTGAGGGCGCCGGTCGGATAGGTTGGCATTTTCTGCTCCAACCCGATCGCGTGTGGTAAGACCATATTAAAAGAGGAGGAGTGAGGGTAAGTTAAGTACTTTTCCAATAATAAATGACCACTCCAAAATTTATGCCTTTCAGGCTAGAAGGGAGGAAATACTGCCGCATCCGAAAGTAAACCCTTCTGGCATTCCTTTTTGGAAAACCTTTCGGTTCATTTCATCAATGAATTGTTATTTGATTCTCTATTATTTTATTGCCACTGCAACTGTCAGAAATCCTAGGTTCTGAAGATACTTCCACAGCTATGAATGGTCATTGAATTTGTGGAAAGTCTTCAATTTTTGTGTCCGCTTTCTCATTTGCCGTTTCCAAGCTGCTCTCCCTGCACTTTTTTCCTCGAGAGGGTGGTGAATGAAGCCACTTGACGTTTGCTTCGACGTTGTTATTCGACGGCTCTGTACTTTTCATTGCGATTTAGGACAACTCAGCTCCGGGATGAACAACGCTACGGAAACCGTGGCGATGCGCTACGAAACGTCCGATTACCTTCAAATGGCTCTTTTTCTCCTATTCATGATCGTCGGGCTTCCAGTGAACATCTCGACGCTTTTCTACATGCTTCGACGGTATCGACATGCCAAGAGCTTTCTTCTGCTTCTTCATATCAATTTAAACATCTCCGACATACTGGTGATTTATTACTTTTACTTACTTTATTTATTACTTTTACTTTATTCAAATAACAGCTTGTAAAAAGGCTTCCAATAATGGCTTCCACGTGAAATGCTAAAAATTAGATGGTTAAGCTCCACGTTCTTCCTTTCTTGGAATCTTGGCATTTTTTCAGAGAGCTATTGAGTTTTCTTTTCCGCACAGAAGAAACAACTGCTATCTGAAATGATTAGCTTCATTTCAATAACACTCATAAAATGGACTCTAATAACACCTCGCATGAAGTACTAAAAACAATCAAAGCAGTGGAATGCGTAAAGGTCCCTAACCTGGAATCTAATTGCCGAGAGCAATTTGTATTAAGGGTCTGCATCGAGCCTTTTTGGCATATTTGAGCATTTATATCAGTGAAATGACCCAATAAGATGGGGCACTCCGTGGCGAGTGTTAAAGCGAACGTGAGATTGGTCGAGCACGCCGGGGATTCTCTTCATTACGAAAAATAGGATCACTGTAGGCGATATATGCTATCGCACTCCATTCTCTGTCTTTGTCGGCCGGCAGTAGAGGCAACAACTTTACGAAGTTCGCCGCATTGCGTGTGAGTTGTAAATGTCAAAGACTGGCTCATGAAACTTTCTGGTCAAGAAGGACTTTTTTCAGGTGGTGCCTAAGCTTGTTTCAAACGGTCTTCGCATTGTAAAGGAGTACGTGCGGAGCCACGGAACCATGATTAATTTTTCTTACACGGTCCTATGAATACCAGTTGTGTTCGATTCATCGTGGCTACAAAGATTTGAGTTTTGAGCTAATGGTTTAAAATTTGCGCAAAATGGGGTTAGCATAAACAGTGAATGTCTAAATCCATATTAGGACCGACGAAATGAAAGTTGTCAAGCACGAGCATCGAAATTGGCCCCCTATTTGGTATTCATAGGGCCGCTTTAGGAAATTGGCATTTATTCGTGGTTCCCAGCAAGTGCCTCTATATCATGTTTAAGAAGTACGTTTTTAAAATACCGCTTGTACGCCGTCCCTGAGGAACCTTCCGCTGAAGCGTTTTCGCACGTGCTTTTAGTGACCGCTTGCAGGCACATTATCCATCCATCTGCGACGCGCCACAAACTTCAACCGTGTAAGAGCTAAGATTGGGAAATGTGCGAGTTTCAGCGGTCTAATTTATGGCACTATGATCGGAAAACAGTGAGAACTGGCCCTTTTGATCAATTACCAGTTTTGCCCACATAATTGTTGTGCCACGGTTCTCGCAAAAAAAAAGATTATAAGGTGCCAATAAAAATGATGGTGATTCTGTCGATTCTCAATTACAAGTATTAAGGTGTATATGTCCTGGGTCTGATTGGATGGTTAATTACGCTGGAGTGGCGAGGAGGAGCTGTTCTTTGCAAAGTCATGAGATTCGTAGACGCTTTCGTATTGGCAATCAGGTATTTTGCTAAGCACGTCCTCTGCTTTTGTGGCCTAGGCTGTGCATTTAAGCGGGCCAGTCTATGCCCTTGTCAAAAGAGGGTTCCCCAGTAACCTTGTACATGGAGTTATGTGTGACTAGTTTTGGAACTTACAAGAGAAGGGACTGAAATTCCCATGGGACTTTGTATTGAGTCCCAGATACATCAATAGAGGTCCAGACGGTGATTCAATATGGAAACTAAATGCAATGGACCCGCCAAAAGGTTTTTGTGAGCAAGTCAAGTGCATGGAAATAAAGCGACACTATTAACCGTGGCTGGAGCGTCACCTTTAGAGTCTGCAGTGGAGTAGTGAATAGTGCCTCGTTTTCGACCTCCGGGGTTTCCAAGTCTCTGTTTCCCGTTGGAGTGCAAATCGGGACATGTAGCACGGGGCGACCTTTTGAAAGCATAGCACTTTTTAGGAGTAAGCAAGTTTACTTGTCGGCAATTTTCACTACTCAGAACTTCTTGAGCTTCATTTGCAGTTTTAGTTTCCATATTTGTAATCAGCGTTCGAAGCTTTATCGATATGTCTGGCTCTCAAGTGTTTCATAGTAAGGTGAATGCCTTTTCTGGTTAGTTGCATGATAGCATTATCAGAATTGGTAATGATAAACATGATGGAAGTTGACCAGAGGTGATAATATGTGAGTGTCATCTTTGTACTGACAGTTCATACAATGAAGAAGAAAAGATGGATGCAATAGATAAAGAAGTGGTAACAACTAAAGGTAATCTCTTCCACCTATATCAAGCCCAGGCCGAATATCGTTCGACAGAGAAGTCGTATTCGTCGTGGGTCAGGAGAGGTCGTACTCCTAGGGTAAGTAACGAGCACATCAGTGACAGCATGCTACAGATAGGAGGGAGGGAGTGCGCATCTACCTAAGCACCATACGGCAGCACCAGTGGGAACACACAACTCCGCAGTGACACCGTCAGGTGGAACTTACACAGCGGATAGTATTGTTGCTACTCTTCGGTGTAGGATTGGAATCATTGCAGACTTCAAATAACACCACCATTTCTGGCGCAGATACCTACTGCTTACAGCTGGATAAACTTGCTTCGGATATCGCAAAGTTGAGGATTCCAATACATTATTGTTCAGACTGCGCACATCTGCGCAACCGCACTTCGACACGAGGGAATGCTTAGTACTAATAACGAAACGTGGCCCATGATTTTCCCCGATCTTTCAATATTCCTAAGGTTTAAAACAAATGCAACAAGTTGTTCCACTTGGTGCTCGTTTCTTTAAGCGGAAACTACACACTCGCGAACACCTCAAAACCGACATCCTCCGATTACTGACGTCGAAGATCGTTCAGTTATGTGAGAGCGGTGCCCTTTTACTGGCGTAAAACAGAGGATACTTGTAGACTGCTGAGCTAAATATTGCACTTAATGAAGGTGTTCAAAAGAAAGCTGCGAACCTTTGAAAAATTTTTTCAAGTCGGCAAGTACTTATGAGTCAATCTAACGCATCACATAGACGTGAGATAATTGTGATGATATCTGTGGTGTCGCACACTCGCGTAATGTATCAGTTGCTTAAAGCAACAGTCCAGGGAGGGTTTCAACTAATCCAAAGCTGAGGTGTGGAAGCATGCCCCAGCCCAAGTGAAGTCGAAAGGAACTGTCACTGAAGTAAAAACTCACCTCTGAAATGCGTGAGAAGGGCTCGAAGTTCGTCGAAAAGGGCGGGTCAACCGAGCCTCGGTTGACCCGCCTCCTTGCTGCTGTGAAGAGCGCTTGCTCGAATAGCGGTCGTTGCGGGACCGCCGCGCTGTATCAGGTCGATTCCATGAGAGCGCAACTTAAGCGCTTCAATTTCGATTGCTGGCAAATAGTTATGTATTTGCAAGCATGCATGGCTATTTGCCAGCAGAGCAATTGGAGCGCATGTACTAGGGCAGGTTCGGACAACTCGTCCAACGCACGTCTCCCTAAACGGCAGGGGGAGTCCCTGTCTAAGCCCCTGCCCGTTTTTTTCTACTTTTTCTTTCTCCATTGACCAACTTCTCACCTGCAACGTCATTATAGGTGGTCCTTACCCGCGAATTCGTTCCTGGATTGTTGCTTTAAGGTCGGATGGTGATAAAATGGGCGAGGAGTGGACAGGGTCAACCGCCGCGAGGGTGCTTTCAAAAATTTTACGACTCCCATCCCTTTAGAAAGTTTTGATCCGACCTCACGCCCGTCCCGAAGCAGCTATTATGTGGATTTGCAACTACTGGCTCCTAGATTCAGAAAGCTCCCATGATTGTGCAATATCAAGGAAAGTCTTTTCATTTCACATAGATTTAGAATAAGATTTCATAAAAATGCACTTCTTTTTTGGAAGGTCGAAGTTATCTCTAAATACGAACTTTGAATTGAGAAGTGGTGAAAAAGAACTTGAAACTTCAAGTAGTTGCTTCTCCAAAAGTACTCAAACTTCTTGTGGTTGTCCATCCGCTAAAATCATCCCTTTGATGCGGCTACGTTTTCGTAGAGATCTATAAGAATCCAAATAATAAAAACCGAGCAAAACCAGAATAAAAGCCTGGCAACAGTGCTGTTAAAGGTGGTTGTAGATTCCAAAAGCGAAGGAGGGCAGGCAGCAGCTCATCATCAGAAGCAACCAACTGATACGACCTAATTCCCGCCCTAATTTTGCAGTAGCCCTAGCTAGTGTCGCGTAATAACACCTTCGGTAGTGTAGTGTACTCGCGTACACCTATAGGCTCCGTAACTTTGGTCATTGGGTAACTCGATGCCCTGGTTACGGAAATGACATTCATTTCTAGCGGTGGTGGCGCCATCTGGCGCCAGTTCGCGTCATCTTTTCACGAGCTCTCTCCTCACCAAATTCTCGGCGTATCTTTTGGCGTTTTGGTGACATACATTACGAAAATGAATTTGGGCTTAGGTTGTTCACACGCAATCTTCTCGAGCTACGATAGGAGGACAGAAATGGGCGTCCATGATGTGGGCCACGACTGGATATCACATTCAAATCAGAACACAAAATAACCCCTCTACGGAAGTTTACACCAAATTTGGTGAAAATAAGATTCGTGATAAGGTGACGCCACCGCTAGATATGGATGTCATTTTCGTAATCAGGACATCAGATTACCCTTACGGCCAAAGTTACGGTAGTCTGTAGATGTAAACAGGTAGTTCATTAGCGGCAGGTGTTCGTACGTTGAAATTGGCTAGGGCTTCCTCACCGAAAATTAGTGGAGTGTTGAGCTGGTTTGTTTCAAGCGCGATGGGTATGATGCTAATGGAAGGCGATACAGCCAGATGACCCTGCTGTGAATGGCGAACTTCACTACATTCCTAGCAAAACTCACATCGCCCATGGACTTGAACCATGTAATGCAGCGTCCATGAGCGCGACGTTTGGCACTGCACCACAAAGCATTGCTGGTTCAGTTTGAAAGAATTGTAGAATGCAAGATAATAACCTATGAGTTTGCAAAATCTTGGCGTCGCGGAGAATTGATCCCGTGACCGTTCCAGTGCCCACATGGAACGAACCCGCTGCGCCAATCGACGTGTTGCATTGGTCAGATTATTCTCGTTAAATTGTACACGGCTGAACTGCTCCCATGACCAAGGAAGGGGCTATAACGTGATCAATAAGTGGAACACTGCTGGGGACAGTTGGGACACCATACTGGCGAGAAGTTATCAATATTATCGATAGCTCCAGTGGCTTTCTCAACACCTTCCACGAACTACCCTTCTTCTCTTCGCTCTGCGACATGGCAGGGACGCAGGGCCACACGAGGCGCGTTGCCAAAACGGCGACCGGTCAGAGGAAAGGAAAAGTGCATGGATATTGCAGAGACGGTAAACGGTGACTAAAATGTACTCAGGGGTACATATTAGTCGCCGTTTAATGCCTCTGCAAGACCCATGCACTTTTCCTTTTCTCTGACCGGTCGCCGTTTTGGCAACGTGCCGCCGCACACGTTGGCCAATTGATATATGACGTAGACCTCGCCAACTGCGGCACGTCAGCGCGAATTTCCCGCCTTCCCAATGGTTTTTGGGTGCGGGCGAAAGGCGACGTCAAGGTGAGCAATTGCCAGCCGTGGACTGGCCGTTTAGCAAACTTTTACTACCGCTCCTGACGTTCATAGTTGCCTGCTCTTTGAGGCTCTGTGAATGTAATCCGATGATCTTTGTGGTCTAGTGGCTGCATTATATCTAATTGAATCGCTTTATTCTATTGTTGTGCGACGTATAGCCACTCTCGGACCGCTCTCTTTGTTATATGAACTTGCAGATGGTTCAAAATGTGCCCTTACAATCGTACGCTGGCACATTAGGCACAGGGTTACGGGGTGTTTGGGTCTGAAATTTTGCTGACAATAGCCAGGTCGGCGTACTGGAATGAAATCGAAGAAGATGGTTAATCTGAGACATTGGTTTTCAGTTCTAACATTATGGTCTGCATCGCTTTGTACCGCCTCTACGCTCTTCGATATCCGCTCTGGATCTCGACTGTCGGCCACAGTCGAGTGCCCCGCATGTTGCTGCTTGCTTGGAGTGTGGCCACTATCACAGTGCTTTTCTCAACTGCTCTACGTATGGCGAGAGGTAAGATTGGTTTTCTTTCCAACAATGTTTATAGGCTCGAAGGTCGGAGAAGGGGAGACTTAACCAGTGAGAAGGAAGGCGGACCCCTAATGGCGCGGATGCAGTCTCCTGCCGTTCAAGGGAAAGGGCGTCAAGAGCGTTGAGAAGCGCATAGCACTGATCGAGTGGAAACCCAGGGCAAGAGAAGGTGTTCGCATCCTTGGTTCTGGGCCTTTGTACGCTTTGTTCGTTCCCGCTCCACTGATTAGACACTCTAGCGTCATTCTTATTAACTGCCCTCTAATGGTGAACTCCACCTTCGATGTTTTCTGCGCTATACATGATTTACTGTAGTGTAGGAATCCCGCTGAAGAAAAGATCCATCCATAGACACCTCATCCCAAGGTGCAAGATGTAGTCTTTTTCTCTACAGTTGCGACTTTCACAAGAGGGAGTGGATCGGGTTAAAATGTTAAAGTTCAAAATCAATCACAACAGGCTGGAACTGAAGTAATAAGTACCCAAAGGAAATATCAGAAATAAAATGATAGGTATCGACTCTTTTTCACACCGAAAGAAGATGTTTGATCTAATAACCGTTTTTAAGATGCACAGAGGGAAAAAAGATAACAAATTTCAAAGACTTTTTACAGTCGTCGAGACATCGGACACTACTTCAAGAGGGGAGAAGAGCAAGCTTTCTGTTGTCCGGACTTATAAGGCCAGTTTTTCGCAGTCATGTGGCAGCTGAGATAAGTACTATGAAGTGTTGTCAAAAAATACATTCTCCTAGAGTACAGCTCTCAGGACATGTCGAGGCCTTATGGCGTGGAGAATCCACCATCTCTTTTTTTGCTACTACCTCATACAGATCATCACTTTTTGTTTGTCGTTTCTTTTATTGCCTTGGAGGCTCTTTTCAGTATTAGGTACTTTTTTGATTTTTTTTCCGCTGGTTAAGTTCGTATCTCTCATGTGCCTAAAGACATGCAATAAATAATAACGGAGAAACTAGCAGCGCGTAAATTAAGAAAACAGACTACTGTCAGTCGCTCACAGTTAGGTCCAACGCTACGTTTGCATAAGGAGCGACATATAGTCTTAGCAACCGTCCTCACCGCAACGCTGTAGTTTAAAGGCCGAATTATTCTAGGCAGCTAGTTAAGTACTCGACCTTTTGCGCTTATGGGCACTCTCCTTGAGAGGCTTTCTGAGGCTCTATAAACTGTAGTAGAAATAATCTCGGTGTGGTTTCAAAATTGCATGCCGCTACCTCTGCTACCATGATTTCTGACCAATCTGTATATTTTCTGAGCTGTTGCTGACCACCAAAACAACATATAATGAAAGTCGATATAGGTGGATTTCGGCAATCTTCGTCAGTGTGTGACCATATGGACAGAGAAGATCAATCTTGGTCCGAACAAAACTCAAATGACTGACGAGGATTTTGCTCTGATGAAATTGTACGGCATCCAAAACGCCTGTGTTACATTCTACATCCCGCTGGTAATTCTGGTCATATGCTACGTGCTCATCTTGAAAGTAAGTCCTTTTTACTAACAAATAATTAAATAAATTACGAGTAATTTGAACTCCCGCTGCAAAACTGTCGCAAGTGCTGGCGGTGGGAAGCTTTAACGTATAGGTGTATAATGCTTGAAAGTTAACAAATTCCGCGTTAGATTCCCCCAAAATTTCCCTAGTGGTGGCAATTACTTTCGCTTTATGAACTCTTCTGGCCATCCTGGTCTACTAGCAGCTGTTGAGGGCATCAGCTTTTCTGTGAGCTGCTTCTCTCATGGTTTTTTCCCTGTACTTGCAGATGGACTACTATGGCTATACAAAGCACTTTCATGGGGGAGAGAAAAAGCCGATTCCCACGGTGCCTTTAGGCAATGAAGTCACCAACAAACGATACCATAAGGGAAAATAAAGAACGTGATGTGTGGGCTTCATTGTCCTAAATTATCATTGTCGCACCAAAAAAATCCAGCCAGAAGCGAGAAACTGTAGGCGAGAGTTTTAGCGAGGGGACGTTGCTGGCTTGCGCAAGATTCGATCCAGCACCTGCTCGTTAGCGCTGCGCGGGGTTTGAAAAATCGATTTTATGTATTGGACGGAATGTTATGCCTGAAAAGCTCAGATTGACAACCGCTTGCTGAAGAACCTGTTCATAGGAGCGATAAGGCTAGGAGGTCACTCGAAAGTGGCGCGCAGAGCCCTCGCCGAGTTCTCGTGGTCAGCTATGCGAGGGCTACCGAAGAATGAAGCGGACCTCGGCCAAAGAATCTAGTTTGAATTGGCACTTGAACCGTAGGATCGCTATGCGGGAAGTCTTTAGAAGGTACTGATCTGATATCCAAGCCGATGCCTTCAAGAGACTCGTTGAAAAGGAGCCAAGCCAAGGACATAGGAGGCTTTAGAATATAGGACAACGGACATATGCTAAATGGAGATGGTTATTGCAGCACTTATGTCGCTCAAGGATCGCGGCTTGAATCAAAGTGGGAATTATGGGCGTAGGAATCAGCACGATGAATAATGGGATGTTAAACAGTCTTCGTTATCACCCATAAAGCGGACTATTTGAGAAAATTCGGAGCCTGACAACGCATGATCGTTGTTCAGATCTATTACTCAAATAGCAGTGCTTGAAGAGGATCACCTCCGGTAGTGCAAAAGAGCCGTGGAAGGGATCACGGTGGCAAGGATGCGAAGAAGCGTTAGATTGTTTAGTTCAGTTGCTGGACCTAGTGTTTTCGCAAGATCTCATCGAAACGTGGGAGTTGGAAGGTAGGCTACTATAGAGGAGTGAAGGAGAAAGAGGGAATCGATTATGTGTTCATAAGACGTATCGTCTCTCGAAATCGCGTAAGACGTCAAGGAGCTCCTAGAAAAGAAATTACGTCACTCGTCATCAACATACGTCACTCGCTCTGTGAAAGCTTCCACCACCGAACTATACGCTCCATTCGGTGGTGAAAGCTTTACAGAGTGACGTTGACCTCCCAGACCCCAATGAACTAGCCCACGCAAGTGGGATCATGCAACTGTGGTCGTGCTGAGAAAAAAGACTTTGGATACGAGCATAACTAAGAGACAAGTCAGCACGGCTCTTTAATGGAAGTCCAGGATCTCATCGTGCTCAGAAGGAAAGGCAAAGGAGGAGCTCTCTGCCTACCAAACTCTGCCTACCAAGGGCTAGCCAAGTCAACCGTCGAGGCAAGAAATGCCCTGTTCGAAAAGCCGAAGAAATCAAACGCAAGTCCTTCTGCCTAGTAAGGCTGCTGCTTAGCGCACTAGGGTGAAGAAGTCTTATCGAGACAGCGGACTCTGCCGATGATCGTCGTGACTGCCTATACTACAAATTGTATTATCAGCACGCATCCCACCTCTTCTCACCCCCCCCGCCCACTCCGCCGTGAGACACATTGAACGACAACGAGCCTTTTGATGCGATCTTTGAGACGCGCAAGTGCGGCTCATTGTCCAGGGGTGTTTTTCGGAACTCAACACTGAAAGTAACGAAACAACGAGTGCAATGGGAGTTGAGAGGGAGGATCAGTCGGCAACAGCCTGTCGGCGCCTCCTAAGCGAGATAGTAATAACATTAGCTCAAAATAAGAGGCCGTAAACCAAGGGGATATAGTCAGTTCAGGGAAGTGGAGAGTAGGAAAAACCACTAGAAATGTGTGAAAATGGGAAAAAGGAAATGCGCGTTTACACTATCTTTCTCTCAAAAGGCTCACTCAAGCTGCGCACAACGTCGCCGACTCTAGCCTCCCCTCAACTCTTGATGACCGAAACAAACAGGTTTAGCAGCTGCTGTGCGAGCATATCTGACCATTTCATGGACCACGGCGTTTGTAGTAGATTAATGTATGATCTACAGAATAAGTAAAACAATTTGGGAAGAAGCCGCGCATGCGCTAAAAAGGGGATGAAGGGGTGAGACGCGCAACCGCGTCTCACTGTCACTGTCGTCAATGTGTTAAACCAATTTAGTTGATTCGAACATCGTGTCTTCGATGGCTGCATTCGCCTTCTTTGAAGTTATATCTTATTGAACCACAGGTGCACTCTACTGGGAGTTGCATCTTGCAGAAAGGAGGGTTCGTAGCTAAGATTAGCAAAGGTGGATGGCTTTGTGTAGGTAAAAAGTAACAGTTGTTCAACCTGCTGGGAGTTTACTGACAACGTAATACTTTGGTGGATAGGTTTGCCTACTCAGCAATTTCCTTATAATTTTAGGACATTTACAAAACACTGAACGCTTCACCGGAAATGTCATCAGCATGGTATATGTCGGATCTGAGCAAGCAATCCTCACTGACAAAGAAACTGTTGCGAAAAGAGAACGAAAAGAAGGACGAAAGTGCAGGTTTGCGAAAAAGCTATTCCTACCGTCCACCGGTTGTTCTATACTGAAGGGCGATCCAGCGTTGCTTCCCACAAATTAACATTCCGAGAAAAATGTTCTTGTAGAATAGTCTTGAGTGGAACTTTATCTTGAAATTCTGCTGATAAAGCACGCTCGCAATTCTCTTTGGAGCCAACATCTTGAATTCACTCATAAGTGCACAATTAAGTTCATCTGTTAAATTCCAATTTTTGGCTCCAATTTTCCACATGCTCACGTGTACATACACGTAGCGGTCAAAAGCCGTTTGTCACTTGATTCTTGACCGCTACTGTATGTAGAAGGAAGGTGGTAGGAGAGGCAAAAGAGCTCGTTAGTCACTCCCTTTGCAGTAGCCCTACGGGGTTACATCATTAAAAGTTCCTACGAGGCAAACCCAAAGCAACAAGTGAACTGTTTCGAGATTGGCGAGATCCCCTATATCGTATCCCTTCACACGGTCTTTCCGTGCTTTCGTTTTCAGCCCAGACTTCGCAAAGGCATGATCGGCCATTTCTAAATTACTCGGAGCCTGAGTAACCATCTACGATAGGTACCATAGTGACCTTGTTCGACCTTACTTTAATCCGAAGGAAGCCCCTGCTCCATGAGAGTAGCGGCCACATACAATCGCTAGCCTGTAAGTGATCGAGGAATTCGTGTAGCTGCTTCAAGCTAACCATTTGCGTTTTAATTCTCGGCGATGACGGATGGTTCCACATTTTGAAGACGACGAAGGTAATGGACAAGGATCGGAGCTCCTTATTGGCCGTTACTCCGCAATATTTCCGGAAAAGTTCTATTTACCCGTTACCGTGCTCGGTGTAATTTTTGCCTAATACAATCCATGAACAAGGAAACTCTTTTATGTTACCACCTCTGCATTAAAGGCACAACCCAGCCAGAGGTAGTCTGAACCTTCGCCTTCGGTCTAAAGGATAAGTCTCTGCAGGATAATCCCAGACGTGGGATTGCAACGCCAGCAACGTCTCCATTCGTCCCTGTCGCGTGCGAGAGTTGTCCAGTGGACCCTCGGACACGAGTCCTTCATTCCTTTCGTTCAGAGCTTTCGTGAAGAAGTCTGACCATCGGGCCGGCGGTCGTCCAGGTGTTCGTTTGACGTCCCGAGGGATCCAGTCGGTAACCGCTCTGGTCCAACGGTCATCGCAAAATCGCATGACGTGTCCGGCCCACCTTATCTTCGATTCCTTGGCGAAAACGGCAGCGTCCCTGATCTTCGCAATAAAATGGTAGAAAAAATTGCTCAGCGAGCTTCTACAAGATCGCAAGGTATAACATACTCGTGCTATTCAATAGAAGAGGATCTCTGATTTGCTTATTCACCTTCATGATGTCGTACTCGGAAGCAGCTCGATGGCAGTATATTTTCTAACGATTCTCATTTTTCAAAGCATTTTTAAGGAGAGCAGTCCAGT